TATTGTTTAATAGTGCAAGCTGGACAACATGACAAAAAAGAACTGACGGAAACCTCAATAATGAGGATGCACGAAGATGAAAATAAAAAACTCCATGTGATTCATGTTCTAAAGCAGAAAAAAATGGAGTTGATTTGAATTGGGACCCCAGAAAGTCAGACCTGATCCCAACAGAGCCGAGGATCTGGTAGCAGGTTAGATGATACTTTGACATTGGATCCGTGGAAAGAAAAATGGACGTCAGCAACAAGTAACCCCATTAAGGAAGGGAATTAATCACAGAACTCTTACGCTGCTGATATGAAACTACCAACAAGACAGCTCAGGAAATGCTGTCATGTGAACTTACTTCCTTATTATTGTGAAATGCATTTGCTCAGTTACAGATACCTCCAATAATATCTGCATTACTGAAAATAATTTAAGTTGTGGAACATGTGTACATAACATATTATTTGTTGTGACTTGTTTAAGCTACACAAACTAAACAGATGAGGCAAAACGTTTGAGTTAATGCAACTTCCTCTTTGACATCTGGTGTAAAACAAGCCAACAGAATAGCTAATATCAGCTCCTCTATTTTACTACGTTGAGTCCATGATGTGGGTGTGTATTAATCAATAGTGGCATGAATGTTTTAACAGAATGAGGTTTGGATCTATCCTTCTATTCTTCAATGGTTAATGGTTCCCTCGCACTTTTGTGATAGCGCGCCATCAAGCGGCCACAGCGCGTTATAGCATCCTCTTCACATTTGTATTGTACCGACATGCAGTCGCCTGCAGGGGGCAGTGTGACGTCACTCTGCAACAACGTGTGGGCTCACTGAAGAAGAGGCTCCATTCGGAGTTAAACTTTGGTTTAAGTTAGTTTTATAGCGTTACGAGGCATGGATACAATTACCAAAATGGTGAGGTTTATCATTCAAAGTTCATTTTAGATAGTTACACTACGTAGAGGTCGCATTGGCCTGACACTGCTATGCTCGCGCATTAACGTGAACTAAAGGCTAAAGAAGTTAACCGTAAAAACCGTTGACTAACGTTAGCTGGAGTGAACGAGCTAGTTAAAGAGACAACGCTTTAAAGTTACAAGTCTGAGTTAGTCTTAAACGCCAAGTAATATTTCAGATGGATGGATACATTAACCTTGAATATAAATATAAATATATTTCCCCGTCAGTATAAGCTAAAAAACAGTAATTAAAAACGCTTTGGATACTTCTCCGACAAAATTGGCCGTTTTTTCTTGGGCCGTTTCCAAGCAACGGAGGGACATTAACAAGTTAAGAGACACGCATATCCTTCTAAATACAAATATACAGAAAAACGGAAGTGTTACAATATAGTGAATGTTACATTTGGACATTGGAGCCACGTCAAATTAATTAACACGTCAGATAGAACTCACATGTGCGTCCTCTCGCAACTGCTCATGGGAAATGGCGTTTGCAATATTTAATTATACAAATACGCACGAAGCTCCACAGACACAATATATCAGACAAACTGACGATAAAGCAACACCAAAAGCCAACTAGAAGTACAATATATGTATTTATGTTCAATTGATTGATGTGCCTGTTTATTTTCCTGTTAATGATTTAGTCCAGAAAAAAGTGCCCTTCACAGTTTTCTAGAAACCCCACTTGAATCTACACCAGCAAAAGGAAACGCATATTTTACATTTAAGAGAAAACCTTTTTACTAGACATCAACAACAATAACTTAGTGATCCAGAATAGCAATAACTCCATGATCAATATTGTTGTAATGTAACTAATAATTGGAAATGAACACAACAGATGTACAAACGCATAACAAACTCAACGTAATACTTTAACGTCCACAACCTTTTGCTCCGACCTCAAACGGTACAAATATTTAGCCTGAGTTTAAATGAATTGAGCTGTGGGGGAACGTTTCTTCCTTGACAAACATGAGGAATGTGTCGTCACCTGTTGCTACTGTATCCGCCGCTGTGGCGCGATTCAAGACAAGTGAGAGAACAGGTGTGAGAATACAATCGTGTTGGGCTTGTGTTAATATTAATATTATGGCCTTTTGAAAAGCTTCACGCCAATAGAGCCACATTGAATTGATTTATATACTAGAGGGGAAAAAAGAAAATTTCCAACTTCCATTGCCATCATAAAAAATGTGACCTCTTAATGTTTTCCCTTTAACAGAGGAAGAAGAAAGAGTGTGTAAGGAAACAGGTAAGTGTCCAGTGTCTGACCTTCTTGTGCGACCTATTTGAAACTTCATAGACTCTGAAGCGGATAAAGCATTTAAGCCACTTGGCCAAATGGCCCAGTGAAGCGTTAGTGACCAAGAACCGGCGTCAGCATCCTCACAGCGGAGACCGCAGAGAAAAAACTGCTCTCGGATTCTGTGACTCGCACACAGTTTCTTTCTCGGTGTCTCTGTTTTCCAGTATTTGTTTGCTCGGTGTGTGTTTGGGTTTGCAAACGTAGCATGTGACACCGTGCACACATCCTAAAAAAAAACTAGAAAGTCCTAATTTTTGTTTTTGAAAGTCCGGGTCTAAAAAAAGGTCCTCAAATTGTCTGAAATTTTAGAAAGGCAGACATTCAATTTGATTCGCGGCTGACTGAACGAGCCAATGTGTGCTTATTTGTTCAGTCATTGTTGTATTTTGTTAAATTTCACATCTCTCAACAACTGCTTTATTTGGATTTGAAATTGTTTAGACTCCGCTAAACGTGTGGTTGCACGTCTTGTCATGCCTAACTGCACATTTTAACACTGTAGTCTTTCCTTTTTATGACTGAAATGTGGACCTTTGGCCCATTTTTTATCTGTTAAAACATTGTTAAAACAACTTGATTTAAAGCCATACTCAAAATGCGCACGTGTTCATAGTACATCCATGCACGGCACATGCCGGCCGCGCTCCCTCACAGAAATGGCTTTTTATATATTCAGTGTGACCGACACACAACCCCGCAACAACACACACTCCTCTCTCTCCGCCACCCCCTGTCTCCCTTGGGACCCCCGCAAAAGTCTGCTGTGGGGTCTCCAGTGCCAAAAAGCAGGAAGTCACAGCTGTGCTCATCCCCCTTTCAGCATGTGCGAGAGCGAGTGTGTGTGTTTTTTTTGTGTCAATCTGCATTTCTGTGTTGATCTGGGTCAGTGTGTGTGTGTGTGTGTGTGTTAGCCACTTTATTTATTTATTATGTCCATCAGTTAATCTGGCCAGTATGATGCTAATTTCTCTTCCCACCTCCTTGGTGCAGAAGTTCTGTCAAACTACAGAGACCGAGAAAGACGGGTTTATACGGGCCGATAAACACTGTGTACCTAAACTGTGTGTCTAATAGTACAAGAGTTACTGCTGCAGTGGAAACACACACACACACACACACACACACACTGTCAACTCTGCTTTTATACTGTTTCTTTGCTCTTCACTTCTTTATTTATTTACTTCTCTCTTCTCTTGCTCTTTCTAAACATTAAATGGCCAAAAGTATGCAGACACTCCTGCCTAAATATTTTTTCTTAGTTTGGGTCTTGGCCCATTTTTCATAGTTTTGAATCGACCACATCAACAATTACCTGATCATCAGAAAATCAATGTCAAACTATCAATATGTAATATTTGCAATTATTCAACAAAAAAACGGCAAATACAAATTGGTTACAGCCACTCAATCGTGATGATTTTCTGCATCTCTTCCGTGATCGCAAATTCATCTACTTGGTTTGGTTTCTTGGACGAAACGAGACTTCTGAAGACGTCTCCGTCGGCTCTGGGACATTTTGATGGACATCTTTCTGAAATTTCACAGACGAAATGAAGGAAACCGAGTGGCTGCAGCTTCACTTCAGATCGGGGGGAAATGTTTGCCCTGCGGTATAAGCAATGGTTTCTCTGAGTTCCCCCCTGAGGAACATGACTGGCCTCTCACAGAGCGCCAACCTCACCCTCATCCAACACCTTGGGTATGAATTGAGCCTCAGGCCCAGTGCCCGACCTCACTGATGCTGGGGGGGTTTGAATGGGAGCCAATCGCTGCAGCCACGACCTAAAAGCTTTTTTTTCCCCAAACGAGGGGAGGCGTCGCGGCAGCAGATTGATTCTCGAGGTTTCGGGATGAGATGTTCTCCTATCACATGCACTTGGGACATTTAGACGTCCTTTTGGCCACGTAGTGCATCTCTTTGGTCTGCCTTCGGTCCCACTCATTTCTTTTATTCTGTTGCCGTTCCCTGTGAAGTCAGCCCTTTGCTGTAAATCTCGGGCCTGCGGTTTAATAGGAGCACTGCGCCTCTGCGACACCGGCTGCCTTTGTTTTGGTTACGGATAAAATCACTGGAGGAAAACACAACAGCAGAGAGAGAAGCAGAAAAAGGGGAGAGGCTAGGAGATAGAATAGATGCAGAGGAAGAGAGTCTGAATCCCTCCGGGAAAAGAAAGAATACAGATCGATAGTTTCTCCCACCTTTTAAAAATAACAATCTTGAACAAGACAGAAACCGGAAGAGGAAAGCTGCTGAGACAGCGATGATTTGACGAAGCGCGTATACAGAGCGGACTTAATTACTCCCTAACTTTGAAGTGTAGATCCAAATTTCAGACCTTCCTCCAAACTCTGCATCCCTGCGATTGTTCCGCCCTCACCTCCCTTCATCCCTCGTCTCATTCTCCCCCCCGTCGGAGCTCATTATCAGGGTGCCTCACGTGCACGGCGCTGATCCGCAAAACTCGTCTCAGTGGCCGAAGCTGATGTCCTGTTATTTGTTTTTGGGATCGTTGACAAGTTGACAGCCGACATCAAACCTCACTTTACTGTCAGGGAGAGAGGAAGAGAGAGAGAGAGAGAAGGGGGAGGGTGGGGGACACAAGAGATAGGGAGAGAGGGGGAGGTGAGAGAAAAAGAGGAGGAGAGACGAAGCAGGGGGGGGGGAAGCACTTCACGACTGGACTGCCCCCTTTTCCCCCTCAGCCTCTCTCTCTATCTCTCAACTTTCTTTCCTCCGTCCTCCTCCGCCGTGTGCTTTTTAAAAAAGATTTGGGGAGAGGAGGTGAACAGGCACTCAGAGCGGCGCTGACGGTGCAGGCGGGAGCGTCACGTAGGACAACAGGAGCCCGAGGGGCAGCACACCAGCACTGAGCAAGATTGAAGAGGCTTTTTTTTGGCGGGGGGGGATCTGACTGAGTAAAAAGATTGACTTACAGACACAAGTGGCAGGAGGAAGAAGAGAGAAAGCAGATAACTATTTATAGACTCCCAACAAACTATACGTTCAAACATACGGAAGCAAGGAGAGTTTATTTTGGAGACAGGCAGATATCTTGCCAGCACGCTTGAACATTTTTGCATACCGAACTAGAATTTCCGTCCACTGGAGAGAGAAGGAGGGAGAGAGAAGCAGATGGACGGAGGCACATTCACAATCTAAAGAGAATAATCCTCATCTTCACTCAGCAATGCTTTTGAGGAACTATGCACTGAACCGTTGCTGCCTGTCATGTCCCCGGATGCTGACACAGGCATAGGAAATATTTAAATTCACGGAATTCCTCCTGAGAAGAGGATCCACATTATCTTTTTTTTTTTCTTCTCCTTTTTTTTTTCACTGCAAAGTCCTTCTTCTGTGCAGGTTGTTGTGCTGACGGTCGCTATGTTTTCTCAAAGGTACTCTTTAATACCATCATGGACTTCTTGCCTTTTGGTCCTGTGCGTCCTGGATGCATGGACCACAGCCTGGCCGGCAGCCCAGCAATCCCAACCCCGGCAGCAGTCACGCCGGTCCAGGCAGATGCTGCCCTTAACCTCCTCCTCCTCCTCCTCGTCAGCCGGCAACCTGTCGGAGAGCGCCGAGCGCAAAGTGGAGCGCCTCGGCCAGGCGTTCAAGCGGAACGTCCGGGAGCTCCGGGAGAAAAGCTCCTGCCTGGACCTGGTGTTCCTGGTGGACGAGTCGTCCAGCGTCGGGGCCAACAACTTCCTGAGCGAGCTGAGGTTCGTACGCAAGATGCTCTCCGATTTCCCCGTCGCGCCCGAGGACACCCGGGTGGCCTTGGTCACCTTCTCGTCCAAGACCCACGTCGTGACGAGGGTTGATCACATTTCAGCGCCCAAGTACAGCCAGCACAAGTGCTCCCTGTTCAACCAGGAGATCCCGGCCATCAACTACCGAGGAGGCGGCACCTACACCAAGGGGGCATTCCAGAGGGCCGCGGTGAGTCAGACTAAAGATGAAGGCAGCGCTTATGTCACTGAGGCACGGCGGTGCGCCTAAATGTTCCCGCTGGTGCTCGGCTTTTCATAAACCTCTGTGTGTGTGTGTGACTGCTCAGTGCGTGTGCGTGCGCAGCCTGCAGTGTGATTGTGGTTGTAAATGTCTGTAAACGAGGCCCCCGGCGTGTCCTTGCTCTGGTCCTTCCTGCCTCCTCTAAGTTACACAGCAGAGGGGAAGCCGCTCGCCGGCTAAGTGTTCAGGAGTTCCCCCTCATAAAAATACCATTAAGGGTGATCTGTGCTTGCATGCTCATAGAAGCCCATTGATACACAAACAAACTACGTGCATGTAACACTGAAGCGATGGGTTCGTTCTAAAGTGGAACAAAGAGCTGGACACACACACGCGAGTAAGTCGAGTAGACTCCTTTCACTCAATGTCATCCATCCTGACCCACCGTGTCTCTGAAACAGAAGCGTTGCCCGGTGTCTGCCTGAATTTGTTTTGGCAGGCAGGGATTTGGCAGTTATGCAGGATTACAAGGGGTCAAAATGTTAGCTTGTTTATGGTTTGTTGATTGGAGCTGCCTGACACCCAACCACACACAGACACACGCGCGCCGAGAACACAGCTCATCCGTCAAGTCCAAACAGCCCAGCTGTAAAAGCTGCGTTGGTGGTATAGGGGCTGGTCCTGTACAAACACACACTCACACACCTCGGCTCACGCCTCAGATCCTCCCTCACTTCAGAAGCTTTGTGAGCTTTATGTTCAATCGTCACACAAGGCAAGATTCCGGTGCCTTTTGGGGTCCGTTGACATGGGAGCGCTGCAGCCTGTCACCGAGCTACTTCGCAGTTGGCTAATAGTTGTTGCATCCTCGCAGAGGGAAGGACAAACGGCTAACGCCATGGCTTGTTGACAAATGTGCATAGTGGATACAGAGACTGGGCGCGCTGAATTGTGTGATCAACCAGTTGGACCATGGATGCTCAAATAGCGAGGCTGGCGTGGGTGAATAAACCACCAATTTACCATTAATAGTGGACAATAAAAAAATCCTGTCAGCTTTTTTTTACAGAGAGGTAAGTATGCTGAGTCGTGGCAGGTTTACCTCCCAGTCCATCGCCGTTCAAAGCTAATTGCCTCCTTCTATCCTCCGGTTTACTGCTGAAAGCTCGGCCCCTCAGGACGGGTTCTCAGCTCGCCCTCCTTAGTTAAGTGCTGATAAGGAGGCCGCTGGCTGCATCCCAGCCGCTAAAGACCACAACAATAGCAAGAAAAGGCTTTAATATTCTGCACAAACACTCTGATTTGGGCTCATTAAAGGATTGATGTAAAAGGTTCAAATCAGCCCAACCAAAAGCGAGCGTGCACTGCTGCTCAGGCTCTTATTAAGTTGGCATCGCCACGTTGTTTTCGATTCAAAGTCTGATTAAAAAGAAAGATTGAATTTTCCTTCCGAGTTTCACTCGTCGTAGCCAACCAACGCGGCTGCGTTTCTTTCCAGTAGGGCCTCAGAGCTGGTAAAAGTCCGTAGGCTGACCGGAGCGATGCATGAGTAATGGGAGAGCTCGGGGAAGCCGGCACAGACCCGAGATCTTTTGGAAAGACAGATGAGCCTAGCAGACACGGACCGAGAAGCAGCTGAGGAACCGGTGCTCTAGAAATCGGCCCACACCTGATGGATTCCGTCTGACTGTGTCTTCACATGATCGAGGAAGTGTCTGTGCTTTATCGCCCTATCTTTGCATTATTTTATCCTCCGTCTGAAGACTGGAAAGAGAAAAAATGGGCCTTGTCGTCTCCTTCCATCAGCTTCATAAAGGACGGGTCCGCTAACCCTAATCTACCACGCACTTATCCGCCCGTCATCGTGTGCCGACTGGACTGAAGTGGAACCGTCTCAGTGTGTCAAATTGCAAATTTTGCGGTGTGCGGGAAAGCATATAATTTGTATTTTTGCCCGTCCACGTGCCTCCATGTGTTTGTGCTCCTGTGTATCCATTCTACGGAAAAATCCTGTATGTGTCTTAAGTCTATATGATGTCTGTCAACGTCTGCATCTCTGTGAGAGAGAAAAAAGAAAGTAAGCGAGAGAGGATAATTGATAATTGCGGTATAATAATAATAATGGCATATTTTATTCCCCTGGCCGGTCTTGGCTATTCTAAGTGCTAGAGAAAGCTGGGATCCATTAAGAGAGACATTTTTCCACCAGCCGTGCATGTAGAGACAGGGCTCTCCTCCAGCACTCTTCATCTCTGTCTCGCTCCGTCTCTCCGTCTGTCTCTTCACCTTAAACTCCAAAAGTCAAATCACCAATATTTGGTTCCAAAGTGACTTCAGATTCAGGGGTTTCTGATATTCCCACTCAGTTAAGGAACATTTACTTGAGACTCTACAGAGTAAGCAGTGGATACGTATGCATAGTGAGTATAATTAGTCACTTTGCCATTCCAGCTCACTGTCGTGAAAGCGCTGACATGCAATTCATTGAGGGAATTGGACCTTCCTTGAGGTCAGTCATGGTTTTTCACTCGGGTTTACACTTGAAAACAATGAATAAAGAGATAAGTACATTTTTCCAATCGCTGCGTGAAGCGTTGCTTTGTTTGTTTGGACTTGTTGGATGCAGCTCCTTACGTTCTGCTTGGAAAAAGGAGACTCAGACGCTGTCTGACAATCCGTCGGGCAATTTGTTCGCAGCCTGCTGGAGGCGAGTCGGTCCAGACACAAAACCAGCGCTCCCAAGGCGTCGAGCCGCCCTCTTTACCAGCACAAAGTGATGTGGGAGAGAATAAATGACACACTGCGTGAGTTTGTCGTAATGATTCACCGGGCCTCATTTTCGGGATCCGTCTCTCATCGGCCGCGCGCCTCACAGGAAAACCTGGCAGCTGATGACATCACTCGCTCTGGTTTTCCAGCACTTTCGTGTGCACGGGAGCTGATTGATGACTCTAGGTACGGCCGGGCCCCACCTGAGACAGAAGTAGTTCACATCATATTCCCTTCCTCTCCACTTACTATAATTGCCCTGAAAAAATCAATCCATTTTCCTGCTCTTTTTTTCTTTAGCTCTTGTTTAATATATTTTCCAAGCATTGGCCTTTTGCATCCATATATCCTCTAGGGAACATGGCTCAAGGTCTTTTTTTCCAGGTAGTTGGTAATATAATCGAGGGATTGTTTTTTTTTTTCCCTTCTTGCGTTTTTTACGGCTCGCTTTGGATTCAGGTGTGAGCCACCAAGGACTCTTATCTGTAAGACAGTTAAAAAAAACACTTGTTATTTGTCCTCATCCGGAGGATCTGCCTCTGGGTCGCCTCGCCTTGCCGAAGGAACGACCCCCGCCCCCTCCCTCCTTTTCTCTCCATGGGCAAAGAAACGCGACCACTGAACCGGACTTGGCGGCGTCACCGTGTCAGTCGGCCCTTCACAGACGCATAAGACGCAGCGTGTGCGGAGCACTGAAAGAAACGTGGAAGGAAGAGAGGAAAAAGCCCCGGGTCGAAGGAACGGATCGAAGGAATGTGTCTCTTTCTGGTGGTTATTCTCAGTAATGGTTTTACCTGACTCTTTGGCCTTGGTTCCGATCCGATTTTACAGTGGCTCACAGGCCTTGGCCACATCATAACAGGAGCTTTTCTGCTTAGCCAGACGCCCTGTTTCTGATAGGAAAATCCTCCAATGATCCCTCACACCCATTGTTCACACACGCAGTTTATAACCCCCCCCTGTCTCCACATGGTGGTGTTTAATTGGCCCGTGTGCATTTGTAGACCTCCCGCTTGTGTTCCCGACACGGAGCTCTACAGCTGTTCATCCGACTCGAAATCACTCAAACTGTTCTTCTTCCATGATTTTGTAGCAGCCATGTTTTCTTTTTCCCTCGGAAAACTGGGTGATGGCGTTCGTCCAGTGAAATGTCCAATATTAGTTAACCGCAGTGGATGTCCTAAGAGAAGGAGAACGCTTGTCAATCACACTTCATACAGCTTCACTTGAGAAGAAGCCTCTCTGTGTCGAGCCTCGCCAGACCGCAACAAGCGAGACAAATATGGAGGGCTGGCTTCGTGAGGCACCCCGTCTCGTTCCATTGGGTCATCCGTTTCTCCCATTTTCATGCCTTTCAATCACTCCCCCCTCCTCCCCCCTCCCCAGAGCCGCAGACCTCCCGAGCAGCGCGTCAGGCTGCGGGGGGGGGGTTGCCGTCTTTGCTCTGACGCATTACATCGTCTGTAAGGTTAAACGAGGCGTGCGTGTGCCGTGTGGAGACGTGCTGTAAAGATCATGTGCATTCTTGGCCACACACACGCATTTACATTTGATGCTGATGTTCGAGGGTCAGACTTTGCCCGGCTTTCTGCATAACCACCTCGGAGATGTAGAGTGCAGCAAATTAAGCCGGGAAATGAGCACCATCCATCACCTGGACTTTTTCGCCTGATTTTCAGCAGCCTTTTCATTTCTGGAAAAGTGCGTTTGCCTACTGGAGCATTTTTTGATTCTCTTGACCGAGTCACAGGGGACATTTTCAACAAGTCGGGGATTTCTCTCTACCAAGAGACTGAGCTTATTCCCCCTTTAAACCCCCTCTAATATGAGCGTGTAGGCCTTTAAAGGAAGAGAAAATAAAGAGCGGACAAACAAGTGCCCACTGCAACGAATGAAAGCTAGGTGCGTTTTATCCGGTCTCCAAGGCTGGGCTCAGCCGCGATAAGAAGATAAGAAAAAGTCTGTTTCCTGTCTGTTTAACTGCCACTTCCCGCCATCTGACCCCTTAATCATTGCCTCCCCCTCAGTCCGTCTGCCTCTTGCCTCTCTGCCTCCTCCGCGTTGGTCTCGGAGGGTCTCCGACCGGGTTGAATGAGACGGAAGGATGGAGCAGACCGGCGGCCTCACCTAAGGACCTAAAGGGTCCCGATAAGACGGAGAGGCCAGACGGGAACCGCCCGAGACACCAGATTCAAACCGCCTGCAGCGGATTACTGTTT